ATTATGGTAAGGGGCGTTTCATTTCCGACGTGTGCTTGTGGTGTTCGGCCAATCACAGTGCACTGGGTCAGCTGGCCAATCAGAGCGGACTGCGCTTGTCAAAGGAGGGGGCTTTGTAGAAAACGAAGCGTTTGAGAGAGGCGGGGCATAGAGGACCTACAATAATGTACAGTATTTGAAAAATAATGTGTTTTTTGAACATTAAAGCATGTCAACATATTCTGTTACACCAAATACACAAAATAATGATCTTTAAAAAAGCATCATATGACCCCTTTAATAATATACATAATACAATTTTTTAATTGTTTTATGTTTGTTTAAATGTTAAAAATATTTGTTTATATTTTAGATAATTAATTCATCCATTCATTTAGCTTTTGTTAGTTTCTCAAAAGTGAAAAACAATATTTTTTAACCAATAAAAATGACTATACAGTGCATCTCAATAAATTAGAATGTCGTGGAAAAGTTCATTTATTTCAGTAATTCAACTCAAATTGTGAAACTCGTGTATTAAATAAATTCAATGCACACAGACTGAAGTAGTTTAAGTCTTTGGTTCTTTTAATTGTGATGATTTTGGCTCACATTTAACAAAAACCCACCAATTCACTATCCCAACAAATTAGAATATCTGAATACTTTCCGTACCCACTGTATATATATATATATATAGAAGTGATTTTATTTGCTAGTACAAACAAAATGAAACATAGCACATAGAGGACATAATTGATACTTTTAACCAGTAATTTACTTTTTATGTGCTGCCACAGATGATGGCAAATCCTCCATCACACAGCCCTGCAGCTTCATGAACCAACTAAACTTAAAAGCTATTATTATGAACAATACACAAAATATATACAAACTAACTGTACAGGCAACATTCCCAAGCATTATTTATGAACAATAAAAGTATCCTTCCTCTGTAATTCTTTAATTGACAGGCCTCTAAGTTGGGGCTCAATGAAAATCCTACTGGTCCTTAGCAGAAAGCAAATGACAGATACAGGAGAGATCAGGAGGGGGCGTCGGCGTGGGTTCACGTCCTGTCCCTAGATGGCTTGCTTGAGCGTTCTGGAGATGGCCGTACATGTTCTTTATGGAGCTCCCATGACATGCCTTGTCCTGCTGATGCACATTTTTCTCTTCTGAGCGGCATATGAGTTCTGTCACCACTAATATTCACATCAGGGTGAAGCATCAGTCTCAGTGTCACTGAAAAATGCCCTGTGTTGTTTTAAACTCAAAGTGGCCTTGTTTAATAGAGGATGCGCCCCTGAAACAGAGCGCCGCAAAGGGCCTTATGAAAATGCACACTGAGGGCTTTATTTAAACTGAACAGTAGGGCTGGGTATCGAGTTCGATACTTTTTAGGCACCGACCGAATTGCCTCGATACCATCGAGTCTGAGAGAAATTACATAACCAGGGAGGAATGCAACCATTTTAGACAACCAAATTCCTCAAGTTTTTTTTTTTTTGTATGCTTCCTTTTTACGTTTTAGTTGTGATGTCTGTATCTAAGGTATTTCAGAGGATGAAAGGCAAATTATGCATTTCTGACCTGTTGATTACTCAGTTTAAAAATAGTGTTTACGTAATGTACATGGAATTATTTTCCCTGATGATGTCTATGCAACAAAAAAACACTGACACGTTCAAACTCGCCTGCACCATAAACGATCACATTCTTTCCTTACATGAGGTCTGTAATAAAATGTGTTAAAAACTAGAGGAATGTTCAGATTGAATGATTTGTTTGTTTTCCAGTCACTTCTGTTGAATCAAACCCCATATGGAAACTTACTGCAAGTACAGCACTACTGGACAAATTTTAAAGGGTCAGCTCACCCAAAACAAATAATGATGTCATTTAGTCACCCTCATTTCGTTCCAAATCCATTTTTTTTACACCAATGTAGGCTTTATGTACAACAGGCCTAAAATCGTTATTTAAAGGGTACTTTGCCTTCCGCCACATCTCTCAAATCTCATTTGCACTTACGTTTAACTCAAAAATGAAAAAATAAAACAGGTTTTACATCAATGATGTCAAATGACACAAGTTCTTGTGCCTTACTGATGTCAAACTTGATGCAATATGCCTTGCTGCATGTTATTTGAATTTAAGTTTAAGAGCTGTGGTGAAGGGGAAGATTATCAGTGAACTTCAATTCTGCCTTGTTATTCACATAAAACTATTGTTTGACTTCATTAGATCCCTCTGTTTACCATTGTGGCAAGTGTTACCTGCGAGTTAGCCAGCTCTTGTGTCAGCTCCTGTATTTTCTTCTGTTGCTGGACCAGCAGCTCCTGCACTGAAGCCAGGGTCATCTGCAACTGGGTGACTGCATCCAAAAACACACAAATGAAGATAAGACTACACCCAAAACAATTACCAGAACCTCACCAGCAAGGATATGGCAGCTTTAGTCGCGATCCTGCGCTAACCGACGTATCTGTTTGTTTTTGAAAGCATTACCGACGATCAACACGCAGTGGTTTTCTCTTTGATTTAGCCTTTAGCTCAATCAGTAATATAAGATTCCTCTATTTGTACAAGATTAATCACCTACGTCTGCTCTTATATCAAATCAGGGTCTCTTAACCTCCATTAGCATGGGTTTGAAACGCTGGCTCTATCAAACTCTCCAAACAATCAACAAGATGGAAAAAAAGCCGCTCATTTGGGAGGCAGGAGGGCTAGACACTACTGTCCTCACTAATCTTACTAAATACAGCTCATTTTCCTCCCTCTCTTAAGATTGAATTATTGTCAGATTGTGCTGGTCCCGAGGATTAGAGAAAGCCCAAGAAAAACAGCCCTAGCAGGGCCAGAGTTGGTGTTATTAATGGGGGTATCATTTCAAATAACCCAGAGCACAAGTTGCTCTCCCCCTGTTTCCAGTCACACATGCATTCCCAAACAATGCATTAAGTTTCCAAACTGATTATGTTACAGAAAACCAATAAACGCCTCTATAAATCATGCTCTGTAAAGTGTTAAATCAACTCTAATTGGATTAACATCAGCAGATATTATTAGCTGCCGACTGTTGGCTCTCCGACGCACAGTTCCAGGGCTCTCCTTTCATAGAAACAGCCTTTCCACTTTCTGCTTAAGAGCTGTTACATGTTTCTTTCTCTCGCAGCCTTTGTCTGTGTCGTTAGGTGAATACTTACAGAATAACAGATGCTGAACCGTTTTCCCTAGCTGAATAATAATGATGATTCAAACTCGTCCTTTCAGATGACTGTATTAACATTAACGAGAGATCTGACATCCGATGTATCAACTTTCTCCAAAACATATTTTAACTGAAATAATTACATTTTGCCATCATTTACCCTCCTGTTGTTCCAAACTAGTATGATTTTTCTATTTCTGTAGAACACAAAAGGAAATATTTCGCAGAATGCACATGCAAACCTGCTTGTGTGGTTCATACTTTACAAGTCTGAATGTGTGCTTCAATTTTCAGAAAATAAGCTACATTTTAGTCCCTAGACAAATCAATCATAATGCTACAAAATATGGAATTCAGAACAAGTAAATGATGACAGAATTGTTATTTTTGAGTGATCTACCCCTTTTAAAGAAAGAAGAAAAACTACTACTAATTATAGATCTGAGTTTATATGTGATCATGGATGCATTGAACATCACATTTAAAGTTTTCAAATATTCTGTAGAAGCACATGGTTAGAGATTACATTAAGCCATGGTGCTCAAATGGGCGACGCAGGTTTGAAATCAGCTCGCAACATCATTCTATCCTTTTCTGCCAGTCATTTCCTGTTATCTTTGAACTATAACTATGAATAAAATGGCTTAAAGGTCTAAAATAAAGCAAAAATTTGTTCTAAGCAGGAATGCCACCACAGCTTACGTCAACAGCAATTCCAACAATATTAATACACTGAGAACGAGCAGCAACTGCACCAGCCCTCTAAACCCACAAACACTCGCTTCATACTCAAAACACAATAAATAATGCCTCCATTTAGCGCGTCTCGGGTTTCCACAAACGTTCTCTTTGGAGAAAACAATTGGCCGAATTTGAGATACTGCAAGTGGCTTCGCAGCTGCTGTGAGGAGGCAGACAGTGTGTATAGTGTAAATTATTCAGTAAATCCCTCAATATAATGTACACTGCATATGTCCGGGCCTGTCTGAGCCTTTATTGGCCAGCTGGTCACCAATATGCTCTCCACAGACAAAGAGACCAAGCAGCTAGCACAATTCCATTACAGCCGGCACGAGTGTGAGCGCGCGCGTGCGACAAAATGCTTCCAAGACCTGTTCATTAATTGCGTGTGGAAAGTTGTTGGGAAATCATAATGGGAGTCAAGGCCTACACTCAAAGACTGCAGGAGTAATGGAGCCACATTCAAAGGAATACATCATTCCAATGCACTTGGCACTAGAGAAATACATGAACTTTTAACAAAGGAGTGCGGGCAATTGGCAAGAACGGCAGTCACTTGCTATTACTCACGTTGTGAGAAGAGGGGGAAACGCACTCCGTAATTGCAACCCTCTCCCAAACTGTTAACTGAAACAGTCATTAACTACAATAGCAACTTGGCTACTGCAGCCACAGCAAATTAGATCAGCGGCGTGACTGACTGAGTGACTGGGGGTAGGTACGGCTCTTCCAGGAGAAAACGAGAGAGTGGCGGAGGGAAGGAGCGAGGGGGGGGAGAGATTGTCAGTAACAAGTGTTTCACAAAGGAAATATGAAAAGCAGCTTCAGCCCGGAACAATATAAATATTCCTATCATCTGAATCGGAATGTGACGCTAAACAAAACAGGAATCCTGCTAAAAACCAAACAAAATGAGGGCCAGACAGGCAGCGTAACACAAAGGAGGGTTTTTTTGCATAGATGAACCAAAATGGCAATGAAGAGGCTCATTTGATAATCAGATAAAAAAACCCACATCAAGCTTGCACGCAATGGCTCACAATCGACTGGCCTTTCAGTCACCCTCCCCAAACCAAAAACAGGCAATGTAATGCAGAGACGCAGCTGACTAAAATCACTCGCCTTTATCCCATATGCCCCAAATTTGCTTATTTTGATCTCCTGGATAATGAAAACAATACTATATGCATAACAGAAGACTACGCTGAGATCAGAAATCCATGCATAGATCCAGATCATTTCCATGGTTTTATGAGGCAAATAATAATATGGCTAAATGGCAAGCATACTCTGACAAAGTTTACTTCATAAATAACAAGAAGTCTTTTGTCTATTATATATCACGAGTGCCTGCTTTGCATGTACTGTTTCATCTTTATAGACTGTGTGTTCTACATCAACAATTTTCAAAATTCAAATGTTTACACGGTATTCGCCTAGACTGAAAACAACAAATACTTACAAGTTTTTGAAGCAGAAAAATGTTAGGCAGCTGGGGGAGGTATTTTCTAACAGTACTGAACACATTTTACTCATTACACTCAATTTAGACTGAAAGTTTACAAGTGAAAATAAAATGTAATTATATGTAAAATGATAATATGTAATATGATTCCATTTACTGTGGCACTAAACAATGGTGCAGGAAACATTGCTTTATAGAAATAAAATAAAATAAAACTTGCTTTTAGAATGTATGCCACTTAGAAATAAAGGACTTCAATCATACAAAAAAAAAAAGCCTGGTGGAAATTCAGTCATCAAAATGACCTTTACGCTAGTCTAATGCTCACTTCATCTTCAAAAACATGAATATCTATTTTTAATACTGAACGTTATTTTAAAATAACTGCCTTTTATTTTTAACGTATTTCTACAAAATAATAATTTTGATATTGTTATTGAGAATTATCAGCTTATCTATATAAGACAAAAATTTGAATACTGGTGCATCCCTATTTTTATAGGTTAAATATATGTAAGGAAAACAATACCATCTATTCCGTATGCAAATAGACATAAGAAAAAAGACCAATTGCATTTCAGCATGTAAAACTTGTCTAACTTGTCTGTTAGATTTTGAATAGCGAATATTCTATAGTCACTTCTTTTTTACGTTTCAAAACAATAGATATTACAATTAGATTAAAAAAATAATAATAATAAAGCACAGCTAAATCTGAAATTATCTACTAAAAAAACCCTTAGAGTTTCATGTGAAGTAATTCAGTTCAAATTAACTGTGAAAGTTAAGAACAAAACCTTAACCAGAGCGCTGACAAAGCTCTGCTTTTTACTGCTTTGTAAAAACTGTAAGAAAATAAACTGCACGAGTTGTCCTGCACTGTCTTTCTTTAAAATAAATAAACAAATAAAACACTGCAAGAGTGAATTGTCATTTACACAAAAGGAGCCACCCAGCTGCAAGTCGACTGCGGCCCTAACGAGACAAAGTTTCTTCGGGAAGTGTCCCGCTTTCATGGTTGCCGGGATGTTTAATTACACCGGCTGCGTAGTGGGTAAAGAGAGGGGGAGGAGAGAGGAGGAGAGGCATCCCTCTCTGACAGACTAGCTGAGATTCCTCACCTGTCCAAGGCGGGAGACGCACCTGTCACCACACACTTAATCACCATCGCGCCCAACCAGGGAGCCACACCACCACGGCGAAAATTAAAATGAACTTTCTTGCCACGCAGTTAAGGCAGCAAAAAAAAAAAAAAAACACTGCCATTCCTCTTCCCCTCATTAATATTCTGAGGTTAAGAGCTTTTCAGCGAAACGTAATTAATTGAAGCTGAGCTGACAGTAAACAAGCAATTTCAAATTAAAGCAAAATGACAGGACCGTCATTTGTAAAATGTGAGCAGATTTTGGCTAAAGATAAATGAAGGAAAATGTTAAGGAGGAAAAAGTGATGAAGATATTAATCTTCACCTGTCTGTGTCAGCGTGCCACTCATTTCCGCGATGTTGCTCTCGATCCGCTGCAGATGCTTCTTGTCCTCTTTGCTGCCCATAATGAGGGGAAGGATGTATTTCTGCAATTAAAAACACGGCACACTATTAGAATTCCACTCAGGAACAGGGAAAACAGGCCAGTGGACCAGGACGCGCTCACAAACAGACAAAGGGCTAATCTATTAGCGTTAGCGCAGTCAAACCAAAACTCAACTAAAACCCTCACAGAAGGCTTCTTGTAGTCATAAAATGTCATGATTTATTTTTTGAAAGCTTTACAACATTTGTTTGGTAAGAAAAATTGCTAAATATTTTTACAATTTAAAATTTTGTATTTTACTATATTTTTTAACATTTATTCCTGTGACGGCAAAGCTGAATTTTCAGCAGCCATTACTCCAGTCTTCAGTGTCACATGATCTTTCAGAAATTATTATAATATGCTGTTTTGGTGCTCAAATTTTTTTTTCATTATTATCAATGTTGAAAACAGCTGCTTAATATTTTTGTGAAAAACGTTTACGGTTTCACAATTTGTTGCTGAATAGAAAATAAAAAAAGAACAGCATTTAATTACAACCCTTGTAACATCATAAACGCCTTTACTTTCAATGTTTTATCAATTTCAAAGCGTAAAGTATTAATTTCTTTAAAAAATAAAAGTAATGCATATTTTACATGTTATCAGGGTCAATATTTTGACAATCCTGAGCAAATTACATAAAATACAACTACAAATTTTAAGAAAGAATATTAGATACACCCTGATTTATATAACAGAGTCACCATCAAACTAAATATTTCCCTAAAATGAAGAACTAAAAAAGCTATATTTAAGAGAGGCTAGATAAAGACAGAATGTTTTATTAAATATTAAGGTATTTCAGTACAATAGGACATTAAGCAAGGAGAAAAAAAATAAAAAGAAGGGAAAAATCCAAACAATACTAGTGTTTGTGTTTGATTTCACGGTATCAAGTTCAGTATTGTGTTTGGCAACAGCAGATAAAACATCATTATATGAAGTATGATTAATAGGCCTGCATTCATGCTGAAAAAAAAAACAAGACCTTTTGTTTTTTTAATCCCTCTCAAAAGTCTTGTGGTTTTCTCACTTCATCCAGAGCAATTTGCCTCAATGGCTGACACAGAGGCCAAGAAATAAGCATCGGGGCATGACTCTGGGTTCAACATCATTAAGTCTTTTAGCCCACAGGCTGGCTTCTCCATTTGAACATGTCACCTTCTGAGGACAATTGCTCGTCAAAGTTTAAGCCTTGTAGAACAACATCTCCAAACACTGAGAATGAGCGGTAAAGGTCAGACGGATAGCGCTTCCACTAGCTGCCGGTTCTCACGCCATCGCTGTTTTATTTCCAAACGCACACGTCGATTCGTTTCCCCAGACAAACAAACAGCACATAGACGGGGTGATTAACATGGCATTTGGTGAATAGCTGGGTGCTGTAAAGTGTAATGTGCGTGTGCAGGCTCTCCGTCTGGAAAACAGTTGGCCTTAACAGGTTTTCACAGCGGCGCAACCGTTGACACCGGCATAAGCAATAAACACTTTTAAGTTGAAAAAATCAGAATGAGTGTCAACACCAGCGTAGTTAATAAGAGAGCTGCTGTGAGCGCTGTTTACAATGTGCTCTATAGCATAAATAAAGTGGAGGAGGAGGCCAGGGCATATGGTGGCACCGGTGAGCCGTTCCTCTGACATGACAGCAGTGAGAGCTCTAGCACCAGGGAACAGCACCTCCAGCCACGGGCACAGATCCTCCGAACAGCAGAGACGCACGCGGGGGACTGTTTGTGTGTGAGCGAGAGACAGAGAATGGAAGTGAGAAACGAGCGAGCAAGAGAGTTGCAGAGTTGTGTTTTTTAATTTTCTTGCCTGCACAAAAATCTATTTAATAATGCTAAGAGTATTGCGAACAGATGCCTCACTACTTGGTTGCTAAAGTGTTTCGCGTGGTTTTTTGTATGTTGCTAGCACATTTCTAGTCAAACAACCCACACCAAAGTCTCTATTACAGGTATATTGTCATCACTAATCATGTCAGAAGTCTAATGTGTAATCTTTTAGCAAATCTGCTTATGGTTCATGGGTAGTATACTACCATTCAAAAGTTTAGAGTTGGTAAGATTTTTTAAGTTTTTGAAATTAAATTAAATTTGTTTTAATGTTTTTGAAAGGTCTCTTATGCTCACCAATCATGCATTTATTTGAAAAATAAAATAAAATAAAATACAATAAAATAAGACTAAATAAATATATTTTTTTATTTCACTATATTTAAAATGTAATTTATTCCTGTGATAGTAGTTGAATTTTCAGCAGCTATTACTCCAGTCTTCAGTGTCACATAATGCTTCAAAAATCATTCTAAAATGCAGATTTGGTGATATAGAAACATTTCTTATCATCTCAAACAGCTGTGCTGCTTAATATTTTTCTGGAAACTGATAAATTTTTTCCCAGTATTCTTTTAATTAATAGAAAGTTCCAAAGAACAATGCTTTTTTTATTTTTATTTTTTTTGTAACAACATCAAAGTCTTTACTGTCACTTATGATCAATCTAATGTGTCTCTGCTGAAAAAATTTATTCATTATTTATTATATTTATATTTACACTACCAGTCAAAATTTTTTGAACCGTAAGATTTTAATGTTTTTGAAAGAATTCTCTTCTGCTCACAAAGCCTGCATTTATTTGATCCAAAATACAGCAAAATCAGTAATACTGTGAAATATGTTTACCATTTAAAATAACTGCTTTCTATTTTAATATTAAAGAAACCTGAAAAAATTCTACTCTATTCTTAAGTTTTCAACATAATAATAATAATAATGATTCATGTTTTTTGAGCAGCAAATCTATATAAATATATATATATAAATATATAAATATTACAATGATTTCAGAAGGATCATGTGACTGGAGTAATGATGCTAAAAATGTAGTTTTTAAATCACAGGAATAAATTACATTTTAAAATATATTCAAATAGAAAGCAGTTATTTTAAATAGTAAAATATTTCACAATATTACTGCTTTTGCTGTATTTTGGATCAAATAAATGCAGGCTTGGTAAGCAGAAGAGAATTCTTTAAAAAACATGAAAAATCTTACTGTTCGAAAACTTTTGTCTAATAGTGTATATTTATTATTATATTTATTTGAGCATGAGCATGAGTTATGTGCTAGTAAACTGCAAGTTTAATACTTGGTGTATGTTACTATTACTATTTAGGCAAACCTAAATAGGTTTTGGGATTTTGTTCAAATAATGCTAGCAACAATGAAATAGCAATAGCAACAGTAATGGCTTCCTGAGCAAGCACCAGTAATGAGAATGAGTGAAAATGAAAGTTGTTAAAAATGAGAGTTGACGTCACATTCTCAAAACATCACTTTAAGTACTAAACAAGCTACAGTTTCGGATTGTTAAACACAGACTTGTGTCAAAGGAAAATATGACTTTTTCTGTTAAAATGACATAGGTTTGGCTCACTACATTAGTAAGAGCAGTCATGTGTGCTACTGGAGATGGAGACTGGCTTTATAGAGCGCGTGTGCTTACTGACTGAAGCAGCCGAGTGCAGACGGAAGCTTAGGAAGCTAAACATGCGTTCCTAATCATGACATCATGGGAGTTCCATACAATGTCATTGTAAATGCTCTCTTAAAGGCCACTGCTCCATTTTCTTTCTCTTATAAAACACAGTAATGTAGTCCACATGCTCCTGTGGGCAGTGTGGGTTTACTGTCACCGAAAAACGGGGTCTCTCCCTTACTTGACGGGGTCTGAGGGCCCACGCACCCATCTGTGCCCACATACAAAATCGTGTTGCGATAGTGCTGGAAAGCAGTGAGAGTACAGCCTCTGGGTTTTTCCGAAAAGGAAAACAAAGAAAGTTCTAGGGGTAGAGATGAGCTCATTCCGATGACGTTGGACTGTAACCACAGTGATTTACACGACATCAATGTAGAAAACGCATACAGAAGTAGAAATGCTGGGAAAAGCTTGAGTTCTCAGAATAATAAACACATTTTGAGCAATAGGATACTGGTGGCACTTAAGACACATACCCGGTAGAGATGATGGAAGCCAAAGGCCATTCCTGCCAAGATGACAGCCAGGGCACTGTAGTCTCTCCATCTGTAACCTGAGGGACCTGCAGAGACACACACACAAATACAACAAGCCCATCTATTAGTCCAACCCTGGGAAAAGCTGTCGTGGGCCTTCTGGTAGATGCCATATTTAATTTGACATGAACAAAACAAAACTGTTATGTACAGAAATACAGTATATCCAATGGCCTACTTCTGAAACACAAGCAGAGTTTTTGTGCAATTCGCTCATAAAATCATTCTTGTATGAATCTTTTGCTTAAGATGGTGCTGGTACCCCAGATAATTTCTGTGAATCAGTATAAAGTGTCCTTTTAATGAATCAATTCAAAACAATGGTTCAGTGATTTTAACTAAGTAAGTTTAGGGTAAGGGTAGGTTTAGGGCAGGGGTAGGTATGGACATTAAAAAAAGCCTCAAACCACATGAATAAGATGCTGGTAACACAATCTGATAGGTAGCAGTTTTCGCTATCGATTTGTGCTACTTGTTCTTTTTAATGGGAGGTAGCACAATCTGAGCGGGTAGCACAAATCGTCAGAACACCGGCCCTGGCTCGGTTGAAAGAGGTGGGCCAGAGCGCGGTACACATGTAGTGTGAGCGGAGCGTGGAACTTCTGATACGTGCAGCATGATTGCGTGAACATTTCTGAGCGGCAAAATTGATAGATCTGTAAAGCAATATATTGTGAGAGGGCCGTGTGTGTTAACGTGTCCCAAACGACTCAAAATAATAAACCACAAAGTTAACAAAACGATGCACTCCACTGTGCTAGGCGAGAGCGCTTCTATGCTGTCTTCACGTGCTATCGGAAACTTCCTATTTCCCACTTATGAAGTCGTGAGCGCTTAATGTGTGAGCGCTGCTACAGTCTTAGACCCACCCCAAATGCTCTCATTGGTTGAGATGCGTGATGACACCCATCCCAAGTCAATACTGATCAACATCCCACCCCTCCTGTGACCCATGGTTTGTCTGTATGTGTATTCAGAGCCAGTGAGCAACGGACTTTCATAATAATAAAAAACTGCGTTAACGTGTGATAAAATATTTGTCAGCATTAATCAATTAATGCCTTAATAACGCGTTAACTTGCCCAGCTCTAATATATATACATATATTTAAAAAGCTTTAGCAAAATTATAATATATGTAGGTAAACACTGCAGTATATAAATGATATAAATCTTGCTTGTGTTCAAGTTTTACTACATTTTACTTACATTAAACATTTTGAATCTTATGCTCTGCGAGTGTTTGGTCAAAATGGCTGATCTAAAAAAAAAAGAAAAAGAAAAAAAAAAAACATTGATTTTTCACTGATCATAGATGAAAAATATCCAGATGCGTATTGAATATTATGAAAAGACTGAAAAATATAGCAACATATATTTTATAAAATATATTTTTATTAAATATTTTATTACAATTGTAAATATGTATATTAAAATATTTTATAATATTATAAATCTAAATCTAAATTTCCACAAGACAAAAAAATAGAAACCACTAAACGTTTTATTAGACTTGGGACTCTGTGACTGCATCACATACTGCCTGTACTTTTACCCCTTTACAGCTTTTTTGTTCATGTCAAACTACTGTTAAAAAAATGTGTCTACAATGACTAATGTTTTTAGTCTAAATAAGTCTATATGAATTGGTGCTCTTGTTCCTAGAAGGACAGGGAAAAGAAAAAAATACGAATTCTGATTACACATAGCTATGGAAGTGTAAACTAGATCTGAACTTTTAGATTAAGTACCACATTACTGTAAAACAGAAAATGAAAAATTTCATCAGCTATGACTGCGCATAACGGAAACTCCCGCTTACAATATTTTAGGGGAAAAATCTCTCTGTTAAGGGTAATCGTGATCTTAAAGAAATGGAAATGAGAATCATTTAAAAGATCACTCGTACGGTTTCTGCTCAGACCTTGCACAAGTGCTCACTAGCGGTGAGATGGGGTGTGAATGTCGCAAAAGAACAACGAGTACTATCAGGAAATGAAAGACCACATCAAAGAGTCCCTCCTCACCCCTCACACTCATTCTCAGAGAGAGACAATTGACCTGGCAGAAGGCAAAAAAGCAGAAGAAAAATTCAGTGCAGATTTAAAAACAAAGAAAATGAAAATGCTTTTTTAACACACGTCAACATTTGGAGCGGTTTGATGATTAAAAATCAAATGCTGACCCACTTTATCATCAGAAAAAGAACAACTAGGTTTTTGGAAAAACCCAAAAGAGTCATTGGTTGCAAAAATAGATAGTCCCACCCCAAACTCACACCATTGGTTGAGCCAATGTGTCAGGCTGGTCAGGAACCTCAATCAATCAAGCAATGTTCTAAAAGTGCCTTACTACTTAATAATGGCTTACTTATAGTTGGCATATTAAGCCTGGACATGAGAGAGTAAAAAAACTGATGCACTTTAGTTTAAGTTAGGCTTTAACCAGCTTGTGATAGCAAGAGCAGCCATTTCAATTCATGCTGAGGCAATCTGGAAAGGCTCAGCCAACAGAAAAGAGGTAGAAATGATCATGCAAATGTTTAACGGCACACCAAACAGAGAAGTAATTAAAGCAAGCCTGGCTCTGGCAGGTCAACATGTCAGATACAAAATGCTCCATTTTGTAACATAGCGAGGTCTGCGGAACAGGTGTGTTACTGTAATTTGTTTGAATCTGCTCTACTGAATACAAATAGACAGGCTCTCTAATAGATTAGCAAAGCAATAGTACTTTTTCTTTTTTTTAATGCGTAACTGAACAAGCAGTTTTTATCTGATTTATTATATTAGAGGTCTATTAGGGAGACCCAAATAAAATATGGCACTGATTCTTGAGACATGGTACAAAATATGTCCCACAATTTGCCATTAGTTTTTAAAATAGCAGATTTTACACTAGATCACTAGACTGTTCTTTACACAATTGTGTCATTTTGTTTTTTTCTTGTATTAAATTATCTTGCACTACTCGTACACCATGTTTTAAGTCTTGATTAAAATATTGTATAGTAGAAAATACAGATATATTAAGCACATATTAAAATAAAAAATAAAGTTTATATAATTTCATATATAAAGTAGGTGTGCATATTTTTTTGTCTCTCGGTATTACTCTTTAACACAAATTGTAAGGAAATTGTTCAGGAGTTTTAGATAGTTTTCCTCATTTTAAGCAGTCATATAGAAGAGAACAGATTACTCCAAAATAATTCATATTAGGGGTGGGCGATATGACCAGAATCTTATATCACGATACATGTACGAGTAATTTTATTTTACAGTAACGATATATATGTCACAACATTATTATTTTTGCTGTTATATGCAATTTCCTATTATGCTCTTTTACAAAGTCTTGATTTTGTTTTGGGGGTGTACTAGAACATGCTCTCATGCTTGGTGGTTCGAAAAATGCATTATTTTTCAAATAATTTACATTATTACAGTACCTTTCTCCCCAGCCTGGCACAAACATCTCGATTAGTTCCAGGTTTGATGAAGGCCCGCCTTCCGAAAAACGTAATGTGATGTGATTGGTTAGCTGTCCCAGTGCATTGTGATTGGCGAACACCTTAGACGGTGTTTCAGTACTGCAACGCCCCTTGCTCCGTCTTTCAACAA